AATTTCAAGTAATGTCAATTAAAATGATAGTTACAAAATCTTGCAAGTCTGGCTCCAAGAAATGAGAAGGATACAAGTTTGAGAGACACAAAGTAATGGAGAAGAAAGGTCATCTTTTTTAATGTTTTTGGTTAGCCTTCTACACATTACCATGTGCAGACAACTACCTACGAGTGCTTACTCATGACCTGTCCCCGGAATATCCTTTTATTAATTTCAGAAGATAAAGGAAGAATAAGGATGGCATGGGGCTGAACTTTCAACAGCTCTTAATGTGTGTTCTACTTGATTGCCTCAAAATTTTACTTAACTTGAGCAATTTAAAAAACAAAATGCTAAATTGTTTTTTATAAACCATTACTAATTTCTGTTTCAGCAAAAAATTTATGTTGCTAGGTAAAAATAAATAAACAAATTAAGTGCAAGTTTTAAATTGATGTTCTTTAAATACTAATTCTGTAGTTGGCAAACTGTACCGTATTCTGTGAATTTAAGGATAAGTAAGACAAGCTCTCCTCAAGAACTTGCTTAATACATGGGGAAATAGCATACACAATTAGAAAGCAATGTGCTCTGGGAACTCAGAGGAAGATGCTATTCATTCTTCCTGGGAAGACATTCACAGAGATAGTCACCTTTGAGTTAGAATAAGAATTTTTTCAAGAAAATTATCACTAGCTGATAGTGATTGGGAGGAGAGTCCCAAACATATTTATTTATTCATTCTTTTGTTTATTCTACAGTTGTTATTGAATTTCTGCCATATGTCAAGCACCAAGATAAATACGAAGATGAATAAGACAGTCCCTGCCTGCAAGAGGCTTATAGTCTAGGAAAAAATGACATAAAAAATAATAGACTGAATTAAGTATTAAAGGTACCATGATACAAGTCTGTGCAAGATTTCATGACATTTGGTCAGTTTAACCTAGAGGAATAAGAAAAAACGTGTTGGGAATGTCACAGGAATTTCTACCCTGAGTACAAGTTATTCTCTCCCGTCAAAATCATAGGATCCATAAAGATAGACCCCCCCATTCAGAAGCGAATAACAAATCCAGTTATAATCTGTAGCTCCAATAGAACTTAAACTCCATGAAAATGGGGTCTTTGTTCATGCATCACTCTAGCCCCAGTACCTAGATCAGTGCCTGGAATGTCGTGGTTATTCAATAACTATCTGTTCAATGATGGAATGAATTTGTGGGTTTAAAAGAGGACACCATTAACTTTGGGGATGAAACTTGAATATTTTTACTGAAATGAGAGAAATGTGTTTTCCAACAAATTCTGAAGATTTCTGTTCTACACTATAATTTTTATAAAACAGCAAGACACATTATAGATCCATGTTTCAAGTGAGAGTGTAAGCATGATGGTAGCATTGAACTGAGTCAGGGGTGTATTCTACCCCAATTCTGTCATTCCAAAGCTTTGTGGTAATGGAAAGTCTCTTAACCTTTCTGAGTCCATTTTTTAATTTGTTATCCTATCTCACAAACCTTTTAGGGCTGTTTAAGGATTCAATGATATAATGCATGTTTGCGTCCTATATAAAGTCTAAAGCATTATAAAATATATAACAAAATTAATTTTCTAAGCTTTAAATATTTAAGAATGCCTGACAAATGCAATTAAGCTTTTTTTTTTTTCTATTTTTCTCTAGTGCAGTGCCTGGAGATGACCACCAAACGGAAAATCATCGGCCGCCTCGTGCCGTGCCGATGTTTCCGAGGTGAAGAAGAAATCATCTCAGTTTTAGATTACTCCCATTGCAGTCTTCAGCAGGTGCCAAAGGAGGTCTTTAACTTTGAACGGACATTAGAGGAGCTTTATCTAGATGCCAATCAAATTGAAGAACTACCCAAGGTAATTTTTAAAAACCTAAAATATATGCTGTAAATGAGTATTTCATAATTTTCAAAGAGTTAGCATAATAATAATGTTAATTATATCCTTCTATCTGGGTGATTGACAAATCATTGAAATTGATATAACTTCCCCAATATTTTCATTACCTTCTAATACCACTCCATTTGTAACCTCATGTGATATATTAATTAACAATTGAACTCCAGGGAAATAGTCATTTTATGGATTATACCTTGTTATTTTCATTTAAAATGGTCTTTATTGGAGGGTTGAGATCCATAGCTTATGTTTAGAAAAGAAAGGAAAAATATGACACTGTCCACTCCAGAACTGAAAATTTGTATGTTGTACATTAAGGTGACATTATTTGAAAACCTTGAATTATATGTTCTAAGTCTGAAAAATGCTTTCACATACAGTAATACTATTATGGAAAACATGTTTTCCCTTCCTGGATTTAAATATTTGACTATTACAAGCATCATCCAATATATATGTGGCATATAGTTAGTAAAAGTAGTTTACTAAAAATTTTAATTATTCATCTTCACATGCATGAACACACACACACACACACACACACACACACACACACACGGCCATTATAACATCGTTCTATGCAAGGCAAACCAGGTCTCCTGTGACCTCGTTCTCCATTGCAGAAAAGATTGGATAATAAGAGATTAGTTAATGCAGACCAAGACCACACAGCAGAGAGGTTCAAAGTCTAAACCAGTGGATCCTAAGAGTCACCTAAGTAAGTGACTCAGATTAAGTAGTTAGCATGTCATTTACCTGTGAAGGATTTATATATCTGAAAGGGAAAAAATTGCCATGCCCTCCATTTCCATTGTTTATGCTAAAAAATATGTGTATTAACTGTCCAGTAACCAGAAAAAGAATCTTCCACCATAAAAACTGGAACTTCATTATCAGAATCTGAGATTTCAATGTGCTAATCAAAACAAAATATGAATAATTGGTTTCATTTAGGATTATGAATTATGGTGTTTATATATTAATAACATTTCAAAGTTAGGAAATATATAATGTGTACTTCAAAAACAATAGTTTTTAGTTTTGACAACCTATGTCTATAGTGTCATCTGGGATCTTTCCTTGGGAGAGCTAAGTTAGGCCTAAAAAATTGTTGGCCACATGGATTAGCTCCAGGATTGCACATCGAGTAGAGGTTGGTCTGCAATGGACTGTCTCTTCTACCACAGGAGAAACTACTTAAGCGCACGGATGGCACCTTATTCCTCCTCAAATCCCTGCACACAGGCATGCATGGTGACTTTTACCTAAGGATACTGAGTCTCTGTTATTCCTGACTGGTAGAATAATGCAGAGAACTTCATGTGCTATAAGACTTAATTAGCAAAAGTATATAGGTTTAAAAAGTCATAAATTTGGTATTTCATTTTAATTCAGAAAAATAAGCGTAAGTTTTGTTTGTTTTGTTTTCAGGTCAGAGCAATCTAGGATTGCCAGATAAAATAAAGGACACCTGGTCAAATTTGAATTTTAAATTAAAAAACAGATAATTTTTTGTTTAATTATGTCCCAAATATTGCATGGGATCCATTTAGTAGTTTTTTATTTACATGAAATTCAAAGTTAGCTGGGCATCCTATATTTTGTTTTGCAAAATCTGGCAACCCTAGGCCAATCTAGTTATTTAAAATATTTTTCTAGAACCATTCAAAAGATCCTGTAAGATAAATAGTAAAAACAGGTTAATTTATCAAGCAAGTATTTATTTAATATCTACTCTGCTACACAGTACTTGAGGCTTTAGTACAAGAGAAATAATCTCAATCCCTGCTCTTCAAGATCTGACAGCGTAAGTATAGAAAAAAACTGAAGCATTAGGGGTGAGTGCTCAGTTATGTAATCAGAGCCAAAGACCAAATACTGTTGTGGAACTTACGTGTTGAGAGAGTTCCATTCTTAGAGAGATGAAGGAAGGACCTGACCAAAAAGCACAGGTGCAAAATTTAAGATGCATTGGGGGACAGCAGGGTTGTGAAGAGTCTGGAACTGCAACTGCATGTCGGTTAATTCAACAGTATGTCAGGAGAGTAGGATGGATCCAGATTTTGAAAGGTCTTGAAAGTCACATTGCATTGTTTGGCTTAATACATTAGTAAGATAATGCCATTGGAGGGTGTTATACATCAAGCAGCTCACTAGGAGCTTAAGTAGGCTTGGAAGAGAAATCTTAAGATATTTTGTCTGTTTAGTTAAAACAATGGCCTAACAATAAGTAAAAATAATATAAGTGTACCAAAGACTTAATATACTTTCCCAATATATTAGAATTAAAAATAAATTATTATCCCTTATCATTGGCATGCTTTATATATTTCAAAGATCTTTCACATAATCTGTTAAGGTTTCTGTGAGTTCCCAGATTCAATGTTGTTGCTTTCATAAAACTTCCCTGTGAGTTAGTTTCTTCTAAAGTATATGACATATTGAGATATGATCTAAATGATCTGACATTCGGATATGATCATTATAGTACAAGGATATATTTGTGCATTATTAGAAAAAATAAGAAATTAAAAATCAAAAGGAATGATGATGTATCAACTAGAGTTCATTATGTGTGTTTCAAGTAATGGAAAATTCAATCCAAATGGACTTTAAAAAGAATAGGCTTGATTGACTCACGTAAGTGGTAGGTCCATCTCAGGACAGGATCCAGAATTGATTTGTTTCTGTATACCTTGTGGAGGACCACCTTTGTTCTGTGGCTGGCCTCTCTCGGTGGCAAAATGACTGCAAGAGTTCTAGAGTTCACTTCTACAACATCCCAAAAGAGAAACCCAAAACACTCTTTCTGAGAAGGCCAAAAGAGTGTCTCCCCTAGAATTCCCCAACACTTGTCCTTAGATCTCGCTGGCCTTAATTGTGTCACATATCCAGTTCCTTTACTATTTGATTACAGAATAAGCTATTACGTAAGAAAAATGGGATTACCCTGATTGGGCTTAATAATGATGGGTCACCTCTGTGGAGTGGTGACTGCTGGCAACAATACAAGGGGAAGGTGTGGAAGAACTGTTGGGCAGGTTACCACAATGTGCACTACAGACAAACTGCTATAAAATGATTGTTTTATGAGGAAAAGTTGCTTTAAATCAAAGACTATGTGTATAGTTTTTAATGACCTGTAGGCAAAGCATTGAGATCTTTGAGGATTTGGATTTTTAAAGTTAGATTAAAGTATTTTTGTTTGTCATCTTATTTTATAGTTTTCTTTGTATTTCTCTGGTATTATTGCTGTTATAATTTCAGATTGGTTGAGCAATATGGTAGCCATTTTTATTTTTGATATTACATTCTCATAAAAATTTTCTTTTATATATGTTTTTATTCTTTGCTTTCTGATATTTTATACAGAGAATACTCTAGCTGGTCATGACTCTTTACTATAAAATGTTATACAACAAGTACAGAACAAAAAGTCGAGGTAATGGCACTAGGAAAGATATGTCAAGAGTGTGTCAGAAAAGATGCAAAAATAGATATGAAAGAACAGGAAGTATTTTGATTAGGAATAGTTCAATCTGTGTGTCTTAATTTTCTGTAATAGAAGGTAAAAATACAAAACGACATGCCTTTCACACAGTGATAGAAACCCACACAGCTTATAATTTAGTAATTTGTTTTGCTTGTTATTTTGAATTAGGAACTTAAAATTACAGACAGAATAATAGACCATAACAGGTGCATATTATATATGAAGTAGTGTGGGAAGACAAATGTGAAAAAAGCAACAAAGAGAAAAACTGCAGAGAAACTTCTTGAAACTGAAGAAGAACTTTTAAAAAGAGAATATAAATAATTTTGGAAAAGCCAACATGTGACCAAAACTGAAAGACATGGTGAGCAAATTTGTTAGATGAAGTCAATTTACCCATGTGTAAAAGAGAATGGGATTAAATTTGGAGCACCATACTTTCAAAGTTTTCTCTACTTAAAAGTTTCCAATCTACTCTACAGATACTTTGGAGGGTAAGAACCTGAGCTTTCAATCCAAACCAATGTGGCATTAAATCCTAGCACTGCTATTTGGTTGGGGAAGTATTTTATTTTCTGGAAACCTCAATTTCTTCATTAGCAAAAGTGGGGAAATAACAGTACCACTTTGTGTGGGTAGACAGGTGATTGATAGATGATGATAGATAGAGTATTGGGTGAGATAATGCATGTGGAATACCTAGAATAGAAAAATATTCACTAATTGTTATTGATTATTCTCCTATCACAGCTGAAGTAAGATTTCCATGTTAATTACTTTGAATCAAACAACAATAAGATTTTGTAACATCTCAGGATAGTTCTAGGTGTTGACTATTCAACAAGAAATATCATGGCATGACTTTTTTTTTTTTTATTTCAGCATATTATGAGGGTACAGATGTTTAGGTTACGTATGTTGCCCTTACCCCCCTCCCCCCGCTAAGTCCGAGTTTCAAATATGTCCATCCTTCGGGTGGTGCACATTGCACTCTGTGTACATGGCATGACTTTATTTCTATCTTGAATCTCCAAAGACATCTTTCTAGGAAAACATTCCCCTGCCCATAAAAGGTGATAGGTTTCCGACCCTACACAGTTACACCAACCCGTTTGTGATAATACTGCTACTTCCCCAGAGAATTTCTTTGAATCACAAAATGACAATATTATATAATTTTGAGTAGATGCAACCTTGGGGATTATTTAATTTGGCCCTCAATTATTACTAATAAGTATATCCAGACTGGAAAAGTTAATTGACTTTCCTTAGGCCACATGACATGTTAAAATTTTATCCAAAATTATTACCAAAGACTATGTATTAGTCAGGAAAGGAGAGGTTATGATACAGTAAAAACAAATCAAAATGTCAGTGGATAACTGAACAGAAATTTTTCTTTGTGTCCCTTGAGCGTTGGCAAGGACCACTGCTCTTCAGGAGCCCATACCTAACAACTAGTCCA